GGTGAATAATTACAATGATTAGAATTAGATCTGATAAAAACACAAATTAGAGAGCAAACTGCGCTTGCGTTTTTGACTGAGGGACTTACAACACATGAAGAGAAATTGTGTTAAAGTAGAATCAAAATGACTATACCATAGAGAGTAACTATTGCATACCAAGCGTGTACAGGAAACTGTGACACTGCACCATTGACCAGAAGTGCATCGCAAATGACCTGATGTGCTTCAAGTGAAAAGACTTGTATCTGGAGATCTGATGTGCATCTGGAGATCAGAACCAGAACCATGGCTTGGAACTCTACTGATGTCCAAGATGACCATCTCTCTTATGACCTGACCTGATGACGACTGAGACTCCCCTCAGGGGACCGGCTTGAGGACCTGAGGACCTGAAGAATCCTGAGGACCCTGAGGACCGAGAGAGAAAACTAGGGAGTGATGTTTAGTAATTTTTGAAATTATACATTGATGAGTGTTAAAAATGAGAAGATACTCATGATTCTTTCATTTGTTTTTGTTTTCCCTAGCTTCTGGAACATCTGATATCTAAATGGACACAGACATTTGCAGAACAAGAACCCAGCCAATGAAACGGCTATTGCCGATCTCTTGCTACAACCAGAACCGTGACCAAATGCAATATACATGTTAAGTAATCAGACATCTGACAGACAAAACTTTAAATGATAAAGTATTAGTATTTAGCGATTTTTAGTGGTAGTAAAAAAGTAGAATTGTCCACCTTGTTGTTCATAAACATTTCCACAAAAGAGTTAGAGTAGAAATATGCCTTGACTCAAGCAGCAACCATGCTTTAGAGCCCACAATAGTGTAGAAATAGAGACATCAACCATAGATTCTTTCAAAAATAGAGATTATTGTAGCCAGTGCTAATATCAAATGGTAAAGGGACCCATCTCTCTCAACAACAACAACGGAGGAGGCGGAAAAAGAGAGAGATATCTCAAGATATTATGTCAGGCAGTTTGGGATGAAATGAACATCATTAATCAAATAGTATTATCCTTACAAGACTAATCTATTTGAGCCAGGTTTGGGGTTGGTCAATGTTCTACATCATGGTGTTTGAATTCCTGTATTCTAAATCTGTTCTGCTGAAGCTACAGCTTTTTTTAAAACTCTCAAAGATATCTAAATATCTACTAATTGTTTTTGGCTTCACCCCAATACATCAAAATGCTTTTAAATGCATTGAATCTCTGTTGTTCTAAATCTATCCTCAGTGATCTAAGCTACTTTCATGAACTATTTTGTATGTCCACATTCACAGATGTTTTAAACACAATGAATTTTGGCAAGTATCTAAGAAAACTGTACAAAAACGCTGTAATTAACTTTATCTACTTTTGAAGTAAATGCTTGTGAAATGGTCCCTTTACCATTGATATTAGCACTGGCTACCATAAGACACAATTCTTTGAAAGAATCTTTGGTTGATTTGTTCTATTGCTACATCTATGGGTGGTGGGGCTCTACAAGCTGGTTGCAGGCTTGATCAAGGCATATTTCTAACTACTCTTATGTGGAAATGTTTATGAACAAACAAAGGAAGGAACAATTCTACTTTTTTAACTACTACTAAAAACGCCTTACCAATACTATACTTTATCAATTTAAAAGTTTTTTGTCTGTCAGATGTCGAATACCTTAACATGTATATTGCATTTGTCACAGGTTCTGGTTGTAGCCTACAGAGCATCGGCAATAGACTTTTCATTGCTGGTATTCTTGTTCTGCAAATGTCTTGTGTCCAATAGATCATCAGATGTCCAGGAAGCTAGGGACAAACAAAAACAAAAGAAAGATCATGATTATCTCTCTCATTTAGCACTCATCAATGTATAATTTCAAAAAATAAACATCACTATGTGATTGATAAGGTGGGACAAAATCTCAACATAAATCTAAAAAGACATTGTAGCTACCATCCACAAAGTGCAGGTTTAGTTGAAAGAAATAACGGCACTGTTAAAGCTAAATTGAGGAAATGCATGGAGGAAACAAACAGACAATGGCCTGAATGCATAGACTTGGTACAGTTAAGCATGCATATAACACCTACTCAGGGTAGTGCATTGACACCATTTGAAATATTATATGGTAGGTCATACACACTTCCAGATTTACAGCCAAATAAGCAGTTCTCTCCTGATGATAATCCTACGTTGGCTGACTATATGAGAAAAACATTATTGACTAGAGCGTGTCAAGAAACAAATAATGTTCCGAGTCAACCATTTTGTGCACAGGAGCTGCCTGTTCGAGTTGGAGACTGGGTGTTTGTGAAAGTCATCAAACGAAAGTCCTGGTCCAGTCCACGGTGGGAAGGTCCGCATCAAGTGCTTCTGACGACACCCACTGCTGTGAAGATAGCAGAAAGGCCCACGTGGATTCACCTCTCACACTGCAAAAAGAGAAATCTGAGAGATTTTGTGTCAACCACAGCGGAGGGGAAGGCTGACCTACAAAGGGGGCAGATGTGCTCGTCTCAACAGTCAGTGAAGCAGGGAGATCCTCCAGTGGTTTAATGCACAAGAAACACAGTTTGTACAACTTGATGATGTGCTAGTAACCTCTCATCTTGTGATATTGGTGAATTGGACTGTTTCAAAAAGGACTGTTTACAAGATGGTCTTCAAAGTATTCTCCACTCGACATGGACTTCGATGCAGTAGTGGTCTAATAATACTGATTACATTGATAGTTATTGTGGTTCCATCACTGCTCTGGTGGGGGAGTCAACAATATAACAATGTCAAGCGTACAGCTAGAGCAGAAATAGATGTAGATCATTATAAAGACAACTACTGGTATCGCATGGCTGAAATAACGGCTCAGGCAAATAATATGTCAGATTGTTATGTTTGTGCATTTGTTCCTCATCATTCAAATTCAAATCCTTATATAACACCACATCCAGTCTCAGCTTTAACAACTATATGCACTATGGCTTTTTATACCTTACATTCAATTGGCATGAACTACTCTAAATATGTGGAATGGCTGCCAAATTGCACTACTCTTTCAATTCAAAAGGTAGCAGATTGGAGAGTTCCATTGAACTTCTCTTTAAGTACAAATATGACTAATGAGAAAGGTGTGACTGTGGCTCGATTTCCAGCCAATTCTCCTCTGTGTCTGAGTAGGAAATGCAATGTGCCGGGGCCCTGGGAGGATGCGAACCAATATGTAGGAACATCCACCTGTGATGATGTTCTGCCTATTGCCACATATAACCAACAAACCTCTGAGATACATCACAGATTATACTTCACTACTACTCCGACTGCACGGGAGTTCCCAGTGATTAATTTCACTAAAGTGGGTGAGGTCAGTGGAGTGGCCAACTGGCACTCATACCCAGCTTTTTTGGTGGAGGTCCCGGGGTTTTGGGGCTATCCATGCCCGTCAAACCAGGTGTGGGTTTGTGGAGATAAAGTGTATCTGTGGCTTCCAGAGAGATGGTGTGGAACTTGTCATCTGGCCACCCTAGGTCCGGCCTCCTATATCATTTCAAGTGATAACTTGACACAGCACTTGGGCCAGAGGCAGAAAAGGGCTGCTGCCACAGCGGCCAGAAGCCCACCTTTAATCTCAGATGTAAGAGGAGTGTTCATGACAGCCTTCCCATGTATGGAGTTGCATATTTAAGTCATAGGATGAATGATATTGCATGGAATTTGGAGAATTTGACTAATATTGTCATGGACCTCACTGAACAAATCAGGGGAGATTCAGAGAAAGAGGCTATGCGTCAAATGATCATGCAGAATCGAGTGGCATTAGATTTTGTTTTATCTGAAACTGGTGGTGTGTGTCAGTTAATTAAGGATCATTGTTGTACGTTCATTCCATCATCCAACTCAAATTATTCACTAATTTTGGATCGACTAAAAAGTCTTAAAACTGAGATGCTAAGTGAGCGAGACAATGACAACATGAATTGGGACTTATTGTCATGGTTTTCTACTGGAGCATGGTGGCAACTGATATTGAAAATAGCGACACCTGCAATAATGATTTTGGTTTTATTTTGCATATTTGTCACTTGTTTGTTGCCATGTGCTAAGTCTTTAACCAACAGAATGATAAACACTGCAGTTGCAGACACATTGTTTTCGGATCAATGTCAAGCGTTGTTAGCTCACACAAATGTAAATGATAATTTTGATATTTCTGTGTAAGTTTGTTATGAAGGTATTGCAGAAAACTGAAAAGAGATGTAATGCTGGATGTTAAAACTTTACATTTATATATTATGAATAGGGGGGAATTATGTCAATGGAGTATGTTATTGTGTTATTATCATATTAATAAATGTAACGTTTAGTCTAGTGTGGATCTAAAAACTAGTAGTAGTATTGATCCAGGATCCAGGCAGGGTGAAGAATGTGCGGAGTCAAACCCCCAGCTATTATACACAGGAAGTTAAATTAAGAGCGCAGAAAACATCTGTTATAGCCTCAGGCTTACTTACACAGGGGCTATTTGTGTGTTTTGGAGAAAGGAGCTATTGTGTTCACCTAAGGATGGTGAGACATGTGTTTTCAATTATCAGGTCATGTGACTGTGTGCTTTTCATCGATAGCCTGTCTTGAAACAGGGTCTTTTGCTTTGGGTGTGCCAGGGAGCAGGGCCCAGACTGATCAAGCAGTCTGCCACTTGTCTGTATCTTATATTCTGTCTTTTTATATATTAAACCTTTTCATATATCTAAGCAGAATTTGTGGTCCATTTTTCATCGAAGGAGAAACCGTGGCTGAACCAGCGTTAACATACATTTATTCGATGTTCAAATAAACACAATTAATAAAAAAAAATAAAAAAAAAAAGGTTGCAACCCCAGTCCAAAAAAGGCCTTATTTGGGTTACACACTATGGTAGACTCCACCCTTACCGGGCACACGCTTTAAGTATAGAAATAAAAAAAGAAAAAAGGCCCGAATCGAAACATATTTAAACAATTTGCCTTCAGATTAAACTGGAATGGCAGCGGCACAGGGAGGGGATGAACGCGTTGCATCTGTGTCCAGTGACTCAGTTGATGGTACACCTGAAAAGTGAGAATATTAATTAATTAATATGATTAAATACAGTGACCTTGATTGTTCACATAGCCTACCTGAGAGTGCCGTCTCCCCGATGATGGCCCCAATGCGCTGATCCAGATCAGACTTGGGCATGGTGTTTGCTGCCCCCCCTCCAGTCCGTTGCGTCTCCCTCCGGTGTTTGGCTATGTGTCTTTTTGTTTCGGATTTCAGGTCGAACCACTTCTTCCTGACCTCCTCTATGCTGCGTCCCTCTCCTGAGACCGCATCCACCGCACGCCATACTGCCTCCCAGGCCTCCTTCTTATTAGTATTAGTGCAACCTGCACTGAGGCTACTGAATAGAGTCTTCTTCCTCCTCGTGACCTCCAGCAGTAGGACTTCGAGTTCTGAACTGCTGAAGTTCTTTTTCCTCTTCACTGGCTGCGCTCCAACGGACTTGCTCTTCGCTTTTGGCATTTTGCTGTTTCCTGAGTGGGTTCTGCGCACGGCCCTGCAGTCCCTTTTATGGGCATTAATGGGCGGTTACTTATGCTAAGTACCTATGCTAATGAAGCACCTGGCACGAGCGCTGTACTTACGAGGAAATGGGATTCATCAATCTAAGAGAACAGCTGCGAACAATTCAGCTGCTTACGAGTGCGTTGATGAATCCCACGTAGGGACTTCTTAGAAATCTACTTAAGGAGAACTTGAGAAGAAATTTGAGAAGTTTCTTACGAAGTTATTCGTGAATGAGGCCCATTGTCCAACCCTCTTGAAAACATACACACAGTTACATCTTTGGTGATGTGTGTGTCAAATGCATCTTATGCTACACTCAGACAATATTGGTATTCATAACACCAATTGTGTGCAGTCCGGCAGCTCGCCCATGACCCCATCCACATCTCGCCGGGGCCCCGCATCATCAAGAAGCCCATCTGTGTTGGCTGACATACATAAGGACCCATCCCAGCCTGGAAACATAGCTCCACTGTTGGCACCCAAGCCACCCAAAAATATTGCAACAACACAACAGGTAATAAGCACCCGTGTCTATACCAGGTATGGGCAAACGTTTTGATGCAAGGAACATATTGGAATGTTGAACTTGCTACGAGGGCCAGAGCAGTTGCGAATAGAAATGTTTTAAACAATTAAGCTGTTCTAAGATGGACTGCAATCGAGTAAACGCACTTAAAAAGCAACAAAATAGCGGCAGTAACGCATGTATCTTTTGGTCAGAGAAACATTTGTTTTCACCCTTTTTAAAGCCCTACATAGCGGGCGTGATGTGTTTGCGGTCCGGATTTTAAGGCTATGTGGGCCGCATTTGGCCCCCGCGCCTTAGTTTGCCCACAGACAACATAATAGTTCATATGTGCTCTTACGAAATTAATGGATTATGGTAAAGTAAAGCTGACAGCATCAAGACTGTCAGAAAATGTGTGACTTTGCTATGTGCAGCTCTACAGTCTGTGGGAACAGCCACCAGTAGACATTGTGGTGGCTTTGATTCGTGCCCAGCACAGAGGAGACACCATAGCCCTCCACCACAGTGCTATATGCACACTAAAACCACATGACTGGCTCAATGGGGAGGTAATGTTACTGTTACTCATATATAGTAAATATGTGCCTCAGACATCACACGCACACAGTCATTAAAGTGCTACAAATAATCCAGTCACGTGTACTATAGCTCTACTGTTACACATAGTGAGTCACAATGTTAATTATGGAATGAGCTACAACAGCAGATGTGTTTTGTTTAATCAAACCAGCTAACTGACTTGTCGTCTTAATGCAGATTCTTGAAGCCCTCTTACACCTGTTTGTGCGGCACAGTGGATAAAAGGTGTATGTGCTCAGTCACTACACAGCAGGGGTAATTCTGCATGGCGAGAGAAGGCTACTGGGCAACGTCGCCTTGCCAAGGGTAATGTCTGTGTTGTAAAAAGACATGAGTAAACACAAATATTGTACAATTACAAATTACACAACATTACGTACATGATATAGGCTGTGTACTATATAGTCTCCAATTGACATGGCTAATATACTGAAAAGGCATCTGATGTTATGATGGTTGTAACTGACTGAGTTGTGGTACTAAAGCATGTGTAATTTGGCAACCACATTTCCACATCACCTACAGTGCCTTGCGAAAGTATTCGCCCCCCTTGAACCTTTCAACATTTCGCCACATTTCGGGCTTCAAACATAAAGCTATAAATTTTTTTATTTTTTGTCAAGAATCAACAACAAGTGGGACACAATCGTGAAGTGGAACAAAATTTATTGGATAATTTAAACTTTTTTAACAAATAAAAAACTGAAAAGTGGGGCGTGCAATATTATTCGGCCCCTTTACTTTCAGTGCAGCAAACTCAGTCCAGAAGTTCAGTGAGGATCTTTGAATGATCCAATGTTGTCCTAAATGACTGATGATGATAAATAGAATGCACCTGTGTGTAATCAAGTCTCCGTATAAATGCACCTGCTCTTTGATAGTCTCAGGGTTCTGTTTAAAGCGCAGAGAGAACCATGAAGACAAAGGAACACACCAGGCAGGTCCGAGATACTGTTGTGGAGAAGTTTAAAGCCGGATTTCCCAAGCTTTAAACATCTCAAGGAGCACTGTGCAAGCAATTATATTGAAATGGAAGGAGTATCAGACCACTGCAAATCTACCAAGACCCGGCCGTCCCTCCAAACTTTCATCTCAAACAAGGAGAAGACTGATCAGAGATGCAGCCAAGACGCCGATGATCACTCTGGATGAACTGCAGATAACTACAGCTGATCACTCTGGATGAACTGCAGATAACTACAGCTGAGGTGGGAGAGTCTGTCCATAGGACAACAATCAGTCGTGCACTGCACAAATCTGGCCTTTATGGAAGAGTGGCCATTTCTCAAAGATATCCAATAAAAGTTTCTTAAAGTTTGCCACAAGCCACCTGGGAGACACACCAAACATGTGGAAGAAGGTGCTCTGGTCAGATGAAACCAAAATCAAACCTTTTGGCCACAATGCAAAACGATATGTTTGGCGTAAAAGCAACACAGCTCATCACCCTGAACCCACCATCCCCACCTCAGCTGTAGTTATCTGCAGTTCATCCAGAGTGATCATGGGCCTCTTGGCTGCATCTCTGATCAGACTTCTCCTTGTTTGAGCGCTAATAGCCCTAATTAGCATATGAATGCAGCGGCTGGCCAGGCTGCTTTTCAGCATTGGCGGATACCACTACTTTCAAACTCGTGATTGGCTGAAAAATCACACGTGGCCAGCCATCGTGGGATTACTCTCCATTGGTAGTTTACTCCCCATTGGATGAAATCACTACTTTCAAATCAGTATAATCTCTCGGGATTGGCTAGCAGATCTGTCACTATTGGTCACCCTGCCTCATAATTAATTAAATAATTGTTAGTAGAGTTGTTGGATTTTCATTAAAGTGAATTAGAATATATTCAAAGTTTAGATAGCTTTGGGTTAACCTACGTGTGTGATGGGAGCATTCTCCCATTCCCGAGGCAAGAGTGAAAGAGCATAAGTAAACAAGAGCAGAGTAAAAGCCACCGAGCAGTGGCGGCACGGTGGCTGAGTGGATAGCACTCTCGCCTCTCAGCAAGAAGGTCCTGGGTTTGAATCCCGGCCGGACCAGGGCCTTTCTGAGTGGAGTTTGCATGTTCTCCCCGTGTCTGCGTAGGTTTCCTCCGGGTACTCCGGTTTCCCCTACCACTAAAAATATGTACAATAGGATTGGCATGCGCCTCCTGTTTGGCGACCCCGCTCCCATCTCTGTGTGGAGTGAGAGGACAAGTGCCCAAAAAATAACAATTGTAAACCGCTTTGAGACTCAGCTCTGCAGTGAAAAGGCGGTATATAAAATAAAGATTACTTACTACTTACTAAACAAAACAAAGCATGAAGCCAGGAAACATCTGTGTTGTGACAAGAAGACTCCTGACTGATGAGAGGAGATTGGTTTTCTCACCTAGAGTTCGATAGGTCATATTGTCACCAAATGGTCACATGTGTTTCAAATTATCAGGGTATAAGAACAGAGTTCTTGGTCCATTTCTTTGTCACTCTGCTGCTACATCTAGCAGAGACCCAGACTGGTGCAGTCTGTAACTTGTCCGTGTGTGCTGATGTCCAGATAACCTGTAGTTTTGAACCAGCGGCTGACAACATGTATTAAAGAGATTATGTTGTTGAAATGTGAGTAGTTTATTCACATATTTTGGTCCTTCTTGCGCCGGATGCCAACATGCTTTTCTGCGGAGCTGAGGATGCCTCAAACATGGAGTTGGAGCAGCGGTGAGACCTTCTTCATTCAGAACTGCTTTGAGGACTCCATCTTTGAGGCATGGCAAGTCTCCGGATTGAAGTTGACGGCAGAACTAGAGTTTCTGGACATCCACATGGACAAGGTAAAACTAATTTTTTCAAAAAAAAAAAAGAAACTAAATTTAAATCGTCTTTGAAGGCAGGAAATCCATTTTATCTCCTCAAAAAGCATTGGGGCAGTGAGATATCACACACTTCTAAGAAAGTGGAGAATTTAAAAGGGTGAAAGTCCCCGTTGGTTAGTTCATCGGTACCAACAAAGCGACAGAATAGATGAAACTTCTATCCACTGGGTGAATAAACATCCTCAGAGAAAACAAATTCAGCACTATGGACGCATACGTGTAGTTGGAAAACCAGATCTGGCCATTTTTGAGGGAAAAATGGAACATTTTGAGAGTGGTGATTTTTTCTTCAGCCGATTAGTGACTTTTTGGTAGAACTTTGTGGCAGCCTGCATAATAAGACGACAACAATTTTTCTAAATAATAATTTAAATTGGAAATTGAAATTTAGATATAAAGGCCTAAAGTGTGAGTGCGTGTGTGTGTGCACGTTTGAGGTGCATCCTTTGTGTCCCCTTCTGCCTCTTCCCTTTCTGCTGCTCCCTGTTTTCCCTCTTCCCCTCATCCTCCCTTGCTCCCAATTCTGTCCCTCCAGTCTGCTCAACTCTAGTTGGGTGGAGTAGTAAGTTTGTTATAGTTTAACTACTTTTGTTAATGCTAGCTACAATAATATTCATATAAATATATATTTATTCATATTATTTATAGAGGAAATGAAAATTTTCCAGGAATATGTTCATACAAAGAAATCTTTATTAAAACACACACACACAGCGTTATGCTCACACATAGGTAATTAAAAAATTACAACTCTGAACTGTCCAATCGCCTCCTCGGGGTTGTAATTTGGCAGGGTTCTAGATAGACGCTTAATGTGCGTGGCTCTGTACTTCCGCGCCGCCTCTAACCGGGACTGCAGCTTGACACAGAGTTCAGAAAACTCCGGCTTTCGAAAAGACGGCGACCGCACAATCCACCCAGAGACACCGTCCACAACGCCGCCTTCTTCATTGGACATTAGGTCTACCGTGGCGGACTTCCAGAGTTCCACTTTGTCACTTTCTAGCACACCCAGTCTCGATTCCAGCAGCTGAAAGAATCAGTAAATATTATTAGCCACATCAAATCCTTTTTCCCATCTAAACATTGCCAGGATCAAAAACATAGTGCCTTAAGCAGACCTGGAGATTCTTATCCATGCATTTGTCTCCAGTAGGTTAGACTACTGTAACAACAGCTGCAGTACATTCAAAATGCAGCAGCTCAAGTCCTGACCAGAACCAGGAAGTACGATGGCAAGGCAAGTTTATTTGTCTAGCACAATTCATACACAAGGCAACTCGAAGTGCTGAACAAAACACCTTCAAACAGCACACACACACACACACACACACACACACACACACACACACACACACACACACACACACACACACACACACACACACACACACACACACACACACACACACACACACACACACACACACACACACACACTAAATCAGAATCATTTTTATTGTCACGTAAGCAACAGGAAGTGACAGACTTGGAAATGTCTTTGGCTCAGTGCGTCAGAGAGAGAGGTGAGGGAAGAGGCATAATAAAAATAAAAAGCACTTCAAAAGGAATCAATTTAAAATAGAGTTAAAATTACTATATACAATATAATGCACATGGTGCACACAATATACTGTAAGGAATGTACAGAGGGCGACAGTGGCTCAGCTGGTAGAGCCTTGGCCTTTGAGCCAGAGGGTCATGGGTTCGAGCCCGACCTTCACCATCGACTCCCACTGTCTGCTGTTGCTGTGTCCTTGGGCAAGACACTTAACCTCTGGGAACAGCGAAGGCCACAGCGGGGCGGCTGTGGCTGTAAAGTGCCAAACTGTGGTTGTGTCCTTAGGCAAGACACTTCCCCCACATTAGAATGAGTCTGGTGTGTGTGTGAATGGTTGGTGGTGGTGGGAGGGGCTTCTGTCAGTGTGCCCCAGGGCAGCTGTGGCTACAGTAGTTTATCAAACACAGTGTTTGGAGAGAGAGAATGATGATGTGAAGAGACTTTGAGAGTCCAAAAAAGCACTGTATTAAACCGATACATTATTATTATGAAGGTGACAGCAGTAAAGTGACTTTATAAAGATCAAAGGCAGATCTGTTTGTTCTGACCATAGACTGTAACAGACATAGTCACGCCTATCTCCACCGTTCTAACTATTGGGCTGGAAAATGTGAAAAAACACATCTGTGCATGCGTCAGCTGCACGAGCCCCATTCATTTAAACAGAGACTTCTAAAGTCCACAGCGACTAAACTAGACTGGTCCAGAACACTCAGCATTGACACACATGTGGAACGGAGCTTTGGGCCAAGAGACACTTTTGGACCATCCTGTAAAGACGTTTTCCAGAGGTAAGAAGATGCTATATGTTAGCATTGGCTAATTCTTATTCCGGGTCCACCCCCACAGGCCCGGGGTGGTACTGCAGCATGTCAGAGTCCACCCCCACAGGCCTGGGGTGGTACTGCAGCATGTCAGGGTCCACCCCCACAGGCCCGGGGTGGTACTGCAGCATGTCAGGGTCCACCCCCACAGGCACGGGGTGGTACTGCAGCATGTCAGGGTCCACCCCCACAGGCCCGGGGTGGTACTGCAGCATGTCAGGGTCCACCCCCACAGGCCCGGGGTGGTATTGCAGCATGTCAGGGTCCACCCCCACAGGCCCGGGGTGGTACTGCAGCATGTCAGGGCACGTCATTTTGGACACTTTTGAGCCAGGACCCTCCCACACTGGTTCTGACCCGAGTCCAGTGTGTTCTGACCCGAGTCCAGTGTGTTCTGACCCGAGTCCAGTGTGTTCTGACCCGAGTCCAGTGTGTTCTGACCCGAGTCCAGTGTGTTCTGACCTGAGTCCAGTGTGTTCTGACCCGTTTGGAAGTCCAGGGTGACCAGGACCCGGTACTGACGGCTGAAGTCGTACTGATAATGACTCAGACTCTCGTCCTCAGGATCCAGAGTCTCAGAGGGACACGAGGCGACTGCTGCTCTCACCCTGACACACAACACACACATTATACACACACACACCCTGACACACAACACACACATTATACACACACACCCTGACACACAACACACACATTATACACACACACCCTGACACACAACACACACATTATACACACACACCCTGACACACAACACACACATTATACACACACACGCACACCCTGACACACAACACACACATTATACACACACACACCCTGACACACAACACACACATTATACACACACACCCTGACACACAACACACACATTATACACACACACCCTGACACACAACACACACATTATACACACACACACACACCCTGACACACATTATACACACACACGCACACCCTGACACACAACACACACATTATACACACCCTGACACACAACACACACATTATACACACACACACACCCTGACACACAACACACACATTATACACACACACACCCTGACACACAAAACACACATTATACACACACACGCACACCCTGACACACAACACTTTACACACACACACAGTGGGTTTACCTGATAGTGTGTATCTAGAGAACACAGCTCTGACATAAACAGGACGGTCTGATACTCACTTGTCCAAGACGTCTGCAGAACTCTGAGGACGCACAAAACAACTTATTTACTCCAAATAAAAACACACACTGGATCAAAGAAGCATCAGAAATCGCTGAACACACTGAGGCCGTAGACCCAGGACCGAGGCCGTAGACCCAGGACCGAGGCCGTAGACCCAGGACCGAGGCCGTAGACCCAGGACCGAGGCTGTAGACCCAGGACTGAGGCCGTAGACCCAGGACTGAGGCCGTAGACCCAGGACCGAGGCTGTAGACCCAGGACTGAGGCTGTAGACCCAGGACCGAGGCCGTAGACCCAGGACCGAGGCCGTAGACCCAGGACCGAGGCCGTAGACCCAGGACCGGGGCTGTAGACCCAGGACCGAGGCCGTAGACCCAGGACCGAGGCCGTAGACCCAGGACCGAGGCTGTAGACCCAGGACCGAGGCTGTAGACCCAGGACCGAGGCTGTAGACCCAGGACTGAGGCTGTAGACCCAGGACTGAGGCCGTAGACCCAGGACCGAGGCCGTAGACCCAGGACCGAGGCCGTAGACCCAGGACTGAGGCTGTGTCTCCTGTACCTGAACAAAGGCCACAGAGTCTGCGTCCTCCATCGTGGCGGTCGCTCGCTCCAGCAGCTTCTCGTTGGCGGCGACTGTGTCTCTGTATCTCTGCATCAGAGCTTTGGCTCGACCGCTCTTCTCCTCCTCCTCTGCACTGATCACCTCTGTCATGGACTACACACACACACACACACACACACACACACGCACACACACACACACACACGTTCCTCAGAACTCAAATCAGGGGAATGCAGTAAGCAAATATTGAAAAATGACTAAACAATACAAACTAGAAAATATGAATGAATACATTTTACAGAAAAAGGAAAAAAAGGATAATCATAATTAAAAAAAAGAGCAAAAAAACCATTCAGACTACATTTTGAAATATGTTAGACAAGGGGGGGGCTAAATAGCTATATCAATAATAATAACAGAAAAATTACATTTTTAAATTGTCATACACTTTTATCTTCAGATGTAATACATTTCATATAAGAAAAAAGATAAATTAAAAAAAAACAAAAAAAAAAAAAAACAGTTACTATCCAGTAGATATCCACTCTATCAATCTGGACCACCGTTTTTCATCAATATTTTTTTCTTTTTCAGATTTTAACATACACCCCTCAACTTTGTAATAATATTCAATATACCGCAAAAAACTTAACATGTTTAGTGAAGCCGTATTTTTGGTTTTAAAAATAAATTTCTTACCTAAAAGAATAATTAGGTTAATTAATTGCTTCCATTTTGATTCTCCAAGAACCCCCAACACCACCGAAGGCAGGCCTAACTGACATTTTATATTCATGTCTTTGAATATTTGCTGTACTGCTTCCCAAAAGGCCGCCACCACATGGCAGTACCAAAATAAATGGTCAATAGATTCTATTTCACTTAAACAAAAACGGCATTTGTCGGATTCAGCAAGACCCCAGATTTTAAGCATTTTATTTGTAGGTAAAAAATTATATATAATTTTAATTTGAAAAAATCTGCTGTGCGCGTCCACCACAGTTTGATATATTGTACTGAAAACCATCTTCCAGTAAATCGGTTGATCTAACAGATCTTCCCATTTTTTAAAAGTTCTATATGGCCAGGCTAACGCTAATTTTTGATGGAGATAAAACATATTTATACTTCTATTTATCTTATTTCCTTTCGACCACCTATAGTTCCGTAACACAGGCCGACAAACTAATAACTTGCTACATTCACTATTAATTTTAATTTTCCAATTTCTCTTCAGGGCAGAGAGCAGATGATTATATGAAAGAGGGGAGCAGATATCTCCATAGGTACTAATAAGTTGATCATATTGCATTAACTTCCCATTTTCCCCTATGATATCGTTTATAAAAACAACTCCCCTTTTGATTGCATTTTCCCAAAGTATGGGTTTCCCTTCAATCAGTATATTTGAGTTTAACCAGATTATTTGTTGTAAAATTTCATCACGGTTATTTGGAGGGTTGAATTGAAAACATAACCAACACTCAAGAGTTTCTTTTAAAAACATTGATCCATCATTTATAAGATCTATTACATTAGACATATGAGCTTTCTCTAGCTGCAGGTACATGAAAAGTCCAGTTGAAAATATCACATGATTTTGTTCCAATAAAACACTTGTATACCAATTAGGGTTTTCGTGTATTTTTTGAACAAGAGAGGCTTTTAAAGCGAAACAAAATGCTTCTAGGTTTAGTAATTTAAAGCCCCCTACTTCATAATTATTGTAAAAAATATCCCTCTTTATCTTTTCAGGTTTACCGTTCCAGATAAATTCAAATATTTTTTGTTCATATAATTTAAAAAAGCTTCTGGATGGAGAGGGAAGTGACATAAATAAATAAACGAATTGGGGCACTATTAAGGAATTTATCAATGCTACCTTCCCATACAAGGTTAATGATGCACCCTTCCATGGTTGTAGTATCTTTTCATAATAAGTCTTACAGGCCGCTAGAAAACAATCAAAAGAGTGGTATGAATAAAAATCAAACGCAAGTCACAGTAACGTCACACAAGGAAGGAGAAACAGTAAAACACTTACACACAATGTCGTCTTTATCAACATCGTGGAAATGTGGACTTATTGTTCACATTGTATTGCAGATATTGTGTTAAGCAAATAGGAGGTCACCGTCTCATTACGAGATTAGTCTGAAAACAAAGTGTACAGTTATGATTGGTATCTATACATATCCATTACCGACACAAAACATGTGTAGGTAAACCAAATTCAATTTCCATGGATACATTAACAATACTTACATAACCTTTTTGAGAAAATGGATCCTTCAATGAAGAAAAAAGTGTGATAATTCTAAGAGCATAGCTTTCTTTTTGTTTTCGGGAAGGCATTTGTCTAATGAAAGAAAAACACTCATGGTCAAAGGACTTCATGGTTACATAAAAAGGCTAAATTAATAATTAATTAAGTACATATTTTCACGGGGAGCTAACCAAGAGATAATCTACAGAACATCTACCTCGGTCATTTATAAAAGAGATAAGTACTATTTATCTTACAATGGGGAATCAATAACAGTGCTGAGAGAAACTGAATTGTTACATGATTATTGTGAAAGGTCTTTCAAGTGATTTTCATTTTATTTTGAGTAAATATCCTTCCACTTGTAAGAAGGAACTTTTGAGTAATAACTGAGGGATACAACATACCCATGTGTTTCACTCATGTCACTGACGAGAAGGTCGACAAGTTGTCTTCGAGAGCGGTGACTTAGTGATCTCACAGAATTATAATCTTTAAGGATCTCTCGGTCACCAGGGTTTTCCTGCAGTTCCACCATCTACAAACACGTGGAAAATGTAAAATGACAATCTACAATTGTACCAAAAATCTTATGATACAAAATGCAGCAGTACCTCTTTATCTGTGTCCTTCTCACACATGTCCTGCTTGGATCTCCTTGTGACTGCCACAGAGGATTCTCCTTTAGGAGGAGACTATGGGTTCAGGTCAATTGAAAGTGATGGTGTCCATTTCCATTTGAGAAAGATCTGTTAAAAAAATAAAACATCTAAATATGATGCTTACTTGCATCTTATAATACTTTGTCATTTCATGATTTTGAATGTGAAATAAATGTGTCTCTCCCGTGTCTCCTCCTGAAGCAAAACTCCTGAATTTACAAAACAAAACGAGTTAAATACAAGTAAAATGACATTTCACCAGGCAGAGCATTAACTTCTTAGCATCAATATAGAAATGGGTTCAAAGAATGGACAAATTAAAGCAAAAAAAGAAAGTTCTCACCACACACACAATGATGGTAGGAGTCATGGGAACTTGCTCCATTGGCACTTCTCCTGCCAGGCATGACATCGTCTCTCTCCTCGAAGTAGGACAGCAGAAGCACCATGTCTTTTGTGTCCTCAGAGCATCCACTCAGCTGTCCTCTCAAGACTTTATACTTTGTCAGATCCTCAAGGAACCTTTTACATTTGTATTTGCACACGGTGTTCATGTAGTGCAGGAGCCTTTTCCCTTTCTGATCAATACAAAATACAAAACCAACAAGTAATCATCTTGTCAAACACATTCCCTTCAAACAATGCCTGTTTAGTGCAGATCTTAAACTAATCAAATGAATATCTTACCTGTATTCCAGTCACCGGGAATGCGGCCACACAGCCTCTCCTCAGCCCGCACGTGCTCAAGTTGCGCTCTTCTGGTTAGCACGTTTGGCTAAACACGTGCCAAACGTATGGTTCTGAAAATAACCGGATATCAGCTTAGTTGTTTTATGAGGTGTTTATGCCAGAATGTCAAGATTTTGTCTACGTGTGAAATGCAACACCGTAAATGCAGTCCAGTTTCATGTCACCAGCATCACACAATGGTGAAATGCTCGATGCTAACTAGCGTTAGCTCTTCTAGCTAGCCACGGCTAGGCAGCACGATACTGAAACTAGCTAACATTTCAGAAAAACTAAAGGTCCTTCTTCTGTTCTGTATCAAGATAAATTATCTTACCCGTGTTATCGGCTTCTCGAACGAATGCTTCTCTTCTTCACCAACGCGCACTCACACTCTCTGTCCAGTGTCGTGTGAAAGTTGCACACGGCACTGATCCGGGGACTGACGTACACAGCGTTGACTCCGCATGTGTCTAAACTCTCACGATAGCTGATTATCGGAAAATAAAACGTCTTCTACAAATCAAGGAGTGCAGTCTGAAAATAATATACAGATTTATATTTTGCATGGAAAATTATTGTTGTTGCACGTGTAAATACACTATTAATTAATTACTCCCCTTCCCAAAGTTACAAAAGCTTTATTTGGTTAAAAGGTGAACCATTACTATAAAGATTATTTAAATGTATTTATTTTAGTCATTTAAACTCAGAAAAGAAACACAAGAAGCACTCTACACACATGGAGAAATTTATTTAAAAAACAAACGTTCTTGTTGGTGTTAATGTAGTGATTAATAATAATGAACATTTTAATTGCAGTTTCAGTCTTCTTCTTCTTCACTATATCACACATTTACTCATACATTGAGTTTGTACCAATTTTTCGTGGAATGGGTTATGATTAATGACAAACAGGAGTATTGGTTAACTAATAAGTTAATTACTTGTAAACATTAGTTTCAAGTATTTTAATTTCTTTAGTAATAGACTCTTGATGTACATTTGACTGTATTTGCTTGTTTTTTGTTTTGCAGTTTTTCTCTAAAAGTAACTATCTTGGATAGTAAAACTTCCAACTGAACATTACTGTTAATTAAACTGAGTTTGATGGTTTTTCAACTTAGTTTTTTTCAGTCACCATTTTACGGACATTTTCAGTACATTTCACTGAAATTTTTTACAGTGTATGCATATGTTTATATATATATATATATATATATATATGGTGCTACTTTGAACCAAGAATATAACACATATGTTCAGTTTTCTTTTAGGTATGTACATAATTCAGTTGTGATGCCTTCAGTGTGAATCTACAATGTTCATATTCATGAAAAAAATAAAAAATCCAAACTTTTGGTCTGTACTGTACTTACATATATCCTTTGATGAGCACTTACACTTTCAACATGTCTTTTGTCCTATTGGATTTATTTAATTGATTTTGACATGACAAGCTATAATCAATCATGATCAAATATTTATCTGATGTGTGTGTGTGTGTGTGTGTAAACAGTTTGAGCATTTACAAAATCCGGGTCTACAGTGTGCTGACCTGATCCATGCTGCAGACTGACTGAAAGTAGTTGTGCTCCCCCTCAACCCTGATTAGCATTTGTATAGCTCACAGCATTGCCATTTACATGTTAAAGCCTCCTATGGAGGAGGGAGGAGGGGACAACAAACTACCGTCAACAGCCGAATCCCAGAAGTTTCACAGTAATATACAGGGCCGAAAAGAGACGAAAATCACACTTTTCATGCAGTAAATGGCACCACTGTCGTAAGTATTGTAACTTGGTACTATTGAATTTACAAGACATTTCAGCAGTACTGAAATGTATTTACTATGTAAGGAATAACGTATATTACGCAGGTCATTATCTGAAAATAAGTACCGACAGGGCGAAGCGGACCCCGTACTTATTTTATCCCGCTTATTATACGGCTTTATACCAACAGAACACACAACATAAACTTCAGTCCACTTTTAGGTATGCCGAAAGGTTTCTTTAATGACAGAAAATAAAATAGTTCCCAAAGGCTTTCCCGTGGCTATGCTAGCAACAGTTAGGCTAGCAACTTCCAAACTAGAAATCTCTGGAACTGCATGAAAACTGAACAAAGCATTCTGAACATCAGCGGTGAGTGACCCAAACATAAACCTAACCTAAATCCATAATTCGATCCTCTGCAAATGTGTCCAAAAATGTGCCGGTATCTACTTCCGGGTTTTTCGGATCGCCTTTTCTCGCATTACATCAGTGTTTTTGTCATGAAAACGTAAACGGAAAATTCTGAAAACTTCCGTGCACTTCAGATTCAGTTTATTTGCCATTTGCAGTAAAAAAAAACACATAGGAATACATTAGCAAAAGTCTCCAGTGTGCACAGACAAATACAGACATAAAACAACATTAAAAGACAAAAATAAAACAAATAAAACAGTAAACAAATGTCACTGTGAAATCGATCGACTAAAACAGTTTCAAAACAAGTGCAAATCATTAAAGTGCTCTGTTCACACTGATAACAGCTTGTGGATAAAAACTGTTAGCGTAATGAGATGTCCTGCATCTCAGAGAGCGATATCTTCTGCCAGAGGGAAGAAGCTGGAACATGGCTTTCCCAGGGTGACCAGAAGAGTCATTGACAATCCTAAGAGCTTTGTTTAAAAGTCTGGATTTATAAAGAACCTCCAGAACAGGAAGCTCACAGCCCACGGTCCTCTTTGCAGAGCGGAGCACCTTGTTTAAAGCTCTCTTTTCTTTATCTGTGATGTTTCCAAACCACACAGACACAGAACCAACAAGTAAACTCTCAATGGTGCAGCGATAAAAGTTAAGCAGAATCGTAGAGTTAGTGGTAAATTCTCTAAGTTTACGCAGAAAGTAGAGACGCTGACTAGCTTTCTTAACGACTCGGTCAGTGTTTTAACCCATTTCAGGTCGTTAGACAGAGTTAAACCCAGAAATTTGCACTCCTCTATGATCTCTCCTCTGGGAGTTGTCGATTACGACAGGCAAATGAGAACGATTGCGACTGAAGTCGTAGACCAGTTCACATGTTTTCGATGCGTTCAACTGGAGGTTGTTAGTTTTACTCCACTGAACCACGTTTTGTATCTCTGCTCTATAAGAGGATTCATCATTGTTATTGATGAGACCGATGATGTTGGTGTCGTCAGCGTATTTGATGATCAAGTTTGAGTCAGAGGAGGACACACAATCGTGAGTGTACAAAGTAAAAAGCAAAGGACTCAAAATACATCCCTGAGGAGAACCAGTGCTCACAGAAACAACATCAGAAAAACAGTCATTGATTTTCACTCTCTGAGATCTGTCAGTTAAAAAGCAAAAAATCCATTTACACATGGCAACACTTAAACCGAGAGACATGAGCTTTTAAATCAGTTTACCTGGGACAAGGCAGTTAAAAGCAGAGCTATAATCGATGAAAAGCATTCTCGCGACAGATTTACTAGTGTCCAAGTGACTGTAGACAGAGTTCAGAGCAAAGGAAATGGCATCCTCCACACTCCTGTTCTGTCTGTAAGCAAACTGGAGCGGGTCAACAGTCACAGGGATCTGGCTCTTAATGAAGTCCAGCACAAGCCGCTCAAAAGTTTTCATAAGAACAGACGTGAGAGCCACAGGACGATAGTCATTCAGGCATGTCACAGGAGTTTTCTTAGGAACTGGAATGATGGTCGACTCTTTAAAGCAGTTCGGCACAGTACAGTTCCTTAGCGACAGGTTGAAAATGTCTGTTAGCACAGGGGCAAGTTGCTCAGAGCACAGTTTCAGGACACAAGGAGGGATGCCGTCCGGGCCTGGGGCTTTCCGGACTGTGGTCCTGGACAAGACACGCCTGACTTCCTCCTGAGTCACGGTGAAGGTACCTTGATTGAAACACTCAGGGAATACAGTAGGACAGGCATCAGCGGATTCAAAGCGACAGTAGAACGTGTTCAGCTCGTTTGGCAGAGCTTGGCCGACAGATGCAATTTTCCCAGCACTAGGTTTCCACGATGTGATGGCTTTAATACCCTTCCACATGCGCCGAGGGTCATCTTCCTCAAAATAACTCTTTAACCTGTCCCCGTAACTGCGCTTTGCAGATTTAAAAGAACGTTTCAATGAGTAACAGGATAGCTTATAAGCAACTGTATCATTTGATTGAAACGCCAACGCACGCTCATGAAGTTTCAGTTTCACTTCCGCGTTCATCCAAGGGTTTTGACTACAATGTTCTTTAATGACCTTCTGTGGGACACAGCCGTCAATACAGAAGCGTATGTATCCAGACACCGCGTCACAGAATTCATTGACGTCCTCTGACTGAAACACAGACCAGTCCGTAGCATCAAAACAACCTTGTAGCTTCATGCTAGCCTCCTCAGACCAACACTGCACAGTGCGAGAGGTTGGTTTATGTTCCCTGCTCCTCTGAGTATACGAAGGAAGAAGGAGAACAGAGGAGTGGTCAGACTTTCCAAAAGGAGGTCTGAGACTGGACCTGTAAGCTCCCTTCACGTTACTGTAGCAGTGATCCAGAACATGTGCTCCTCTTGTAGCTTGAGTCACATGTTGGTAAAAGTTCGGGAGTACAGTCTTTAAATTACATTTATTGAAATCCCCAGCAACAATGATGACTGCGTTAGGATGAGCAGACTCATGTTTGTGAAGGATCTGGCTCAGATCCTGTAGGGCTACTTTGTAATCCGCACGTGGGTGAATGTAAACAGCACATAAAAATATCACTGAAAACTCACGGGGAAGATAAAAAGGGCGGCAGCTCAAGACGAGGCATTCCAGATTGGCAGTACATGTTTGGTTCACGATTCGAGTGTCCGTGCACCAGCGCTGATTAATTAAAAAGCACACACCTCCGCCTCTGGCCTTGCCGATGGTCTCCTTCACTCTGTCCGCGCGGTGAGCGGTGAATCCCGGGGGCTGAACAGCAGAGTCCGGGACGTTCGAGTGGAGCCACGTCTCGCTGAGGCAGAACACAGCGCAGTCCCGGGCCTCGCGCTGGCTCTGGACCCGACACAGGAGCTCGTCCGTCTTGTTGGGCAGAGACTGGACGTTGGCCAGGTAGATGGAGGGCAAAGGGGTCCTGGAGGAGCAGCTACGAACGAGCAGACCGCCTCGCCTTCCCCGGTGTCTGCGCCTCCTTTGCCGACTCGAGGTGCCCAGCTCCACACCGCGGAGAGAACGCCGGAGACGCCCAGTCCCCTCGCTCTGTTGGCGGCCACCGCCGCGGCCCGCCTGCCGTGCTCCACCAGCCTCTCGAGTGGGACACTCGAGGAAGTTTGTGCACCTCAGTTCAGGTAAAACGAGTGACCCGTCACCCGCGTGATCCCGAATGATTTGCCGATCATATCCCAGACGAAAAACAACAAAACACAGATCTTCTTGTATTAAGACTGGATATGTATAAATTACTCTCCGATTAACATTTCATTGCGTTGATTGATTGGCATTTGCGTTTATTGAGCGGCCGGAACTACTTTCGGGTTTTTCACGATCGCATTTTGACGCAGAGAAATAGTATTTTTGTCATGAAGACAAGACCAGAAAATTCTGAAAATTTCCGTGCATGTGTGTGAAGAATGTATAAGTATTCTCCGATTAACATTTAAGTGTGTTGATTGAGCGTGGCTAGCTCCGGAGTGGCCGGAACTACTTGCGGAGTTATCCACGCATTTGAAAGACAAGCAGAGAGTGCGTTGCCATGGGCAGCGGTCATTATTGTTTTGAGAGGTCAGTTATAGAAAATAATGACCGGTAGAACGTTTTGAAATTACATTCAAATCAATGGAGCATTCTACTGCTGCTGTGAGGAGCCGTATAATAATATGTTTTACAGGTGAACTTTGAGGAGTATGATGGTGTCATTGCGTGTGTCAATGTGAACAATACACACTGGACCTTGCTGGTCAGTATGTACACTCACAAAGATATGTACTGAAATGTACTTGGAGTAATGTTATCCTCTCCTAGTATGTCAATGCTGTGACCGCCACCATCTACTTGTTGGACCCCTTGGACAAGCCCACTGCCAAGTCAGATTCGATGGCTGCTGCCAAGAGGTTCAGGTACGTGTGCCTTATTTAGTTAATGTACATTATAAGCAGTGTTGGGCACGTTACTTTGAAAAAGTAATTAGTTATAGTTACTAGTTACTTCTCCCAAAAAGTAACTGAGTTACTAACGGAGTTACTCCACTATAAAAGTAACTAGTTACCAGTAAAAGTAACTATTGCGTTACTTTTTTCGTTTTGTTCTGGAACATAATGTGCACCCGACGTGCGCATTTTTACAATATTTCCATCTAGAAAAGGCTGTTTTTCTGCTGAAGTCCTGTTCACTCTTCATCTCTCTCTGTGCTGTAAGCACTAAACACCAACACCCGCCACTGTGAATGTGGATCACCGGTGAAGCACCGACTTCAGCCCAATCAGATGAACATATATATCATATAAATCAACTGGACAGTTTGTTTGGCCACAGCAAAATATGTTTCATGCCCACATTGTTTGTTCATACAAAACGCAAAACTATGAGTTATGGGTCTTACCTTATAAATGACCTGCACAGACCACTTCAGTTCAGACCAGTTCCTTGTTTAAGTCCAGTTAATGGTTTGAGCGTAGATATGTAATCCTCCATTTGGAAATGAGTCCAATGAGTTTTAAAAAGTAAAACAAAACGCGTGTGTCCTCCATAAACTCCTGTGTTTTTCTAGCTGCAGCCGGGTGCATCCAATTTCTAAAACCAACCGTCTTACACTTCACCTCTCTTTCTTATCATTCCTATAGTAATTGAAAAATTACCCTATGTGCATTTTAAATTATCTTAAAATGTGTTATATGTATGTTAGCCAAACCTATTGCTGTCCTTAGCAGATAAACCAGGAAGAGAAAAGAGCTTATCGATGGAATTGTATGCAGCCGACTTCTGCGCTCACATGAGCTCCTCTGAGGCTGGCCTCACGGTGATAGAAGCCGTAGTTGAGCGCGATTAGGACCCATATTTGTTTCAAAAACACAATTTATGACCATCCTCTCAACTGTAGACATGTAGATTGTAAAGGAAATATGTTTTACATCAGCCAATAATTGCCGAGAGGTTTTCTCATCCTCCCTTCTCTCATGACAACATGTTCATTGTGCGTCTTGAGTAACGCGCAGTAACGGGATGTCGGAAATGATAACGGCGTTATAGTTACTGTCAAAGTAATTAGTTAGATTACTCGTTACTGAAAAAAGTAACAGCGTTAGTAACGCCGTTACTAATAACGCCGTTATTCCCATCACTGATGATAAGTGCATTGACACAAAGGTTTGACCACTAATATCAAAATGTGACCATCACAGTGAATACATGAAAATGCGGCGCCTGACAAGAGGCAAGTGGCAGTGGACTGAAAAGCAGTGGGAAGGGGGAGTAGTACCACACTCTGCCCAACAAGATGGCTCAAGTTGTGGAGTCTTAACATTGTTGGTAAGGAAATTGTTGAATTTATTGACATTTTACCTACAGTACATATTCAGACAACCCACAAAAGTGTTGATGTATTCTGCTTTGAGCACATATAGCACATAGTGTGAGTGTTGTGCAGAAATGATGGCCATTTGCAGGGCTAGGCAGTAATTAGAGATGTAAATATACAACAGTATGCCTCTCTGAAAAGGATCACGCTACTGTAAGGGGTGTGTGAAACCCTTCAAGAGGGAATTCAGATGTCCCATTTGTGATCACAGTGGCTAGATTTGCATGTAAATCTTGCCACATGACATGGCTAGATTGTCTTGTGGCAACAAGTTTGATCCACTGCTACCCATGTGGCAGCAGGTTCTTGAGATAGCCTAGTGGATACAGCACAGGTTCAGTAATTTGAAGGTATGAGGCTCTCAGTCAGGAATGTCTTATTTTTTCAGTCAATTGTAGTAATAAAGTAAAATACAAATGGTATAGAGCTGGGACTTGAACTCACAATGTTGAGGATGGAGCAGTATTCATTTGTGCGGTGCCTTAACCACTCGAAACACTTTACTTTCTCTACAAACACAATCATTTCATGGATAACTTTTGTGGGGTTTTTATATACATTTTTCATACTAAAATATTGTTTCGATTTTCATACACCAAAGTCATTAACATTAGTTTGCTCCAGAAATCACACTATGATCATTTTGGTCTCCATGCAAATGTAGCTAGTGTGATGTGACATACTTTGTCTCACATGGATGAGTTATCTTACAGAAATTACGCACCAATGTGAATGTGGGACTGTTAACAAAAAGCTTTGGTTCATGTGGGACATTGTGCAAGTTGTATGAGCAACCAGTTGTAATTTGGGAGCCGCAGAGAACTAAAGTGCAGAAGGTCTCAGGGTCAAGCTCATAACTTGGGGCTACAGTGGCGCTGATGGTACTTGGGTCCTCTCATGATCCGAATGTTGCGGTCAGAACCCCACCTCATGAAGGTGCACACGGTTGTGTCCTTGTGCAGGACACCTAACCCGCCGTTCCTCAGTGTCTGCATACGTTGGTGTTGCTAAATACAATTTATCCCATGTAAAGCATAGTTTTTTTTTCTTCATATCTAAATGTGCATGCCAACCCGATGAGTCCTATTATTTGATTCATGTAGGCAGTGACCATGACTATTTCATGATTAAACTACGAACAATGGGCAGACCAATGCTTGTTAAGAGAAAACAGATAATCGTTGGTTCCCAACCTTTTTTTGTTTTTCGCTTGAAGCCCCCGATGTGTTTGGCCATGGCCCCCACAAATGTATCAAAACATGGACATAATTGCAAAGTGTTTATTTCCAAATACTAACCCGAAATTAGAGTATACTAAGTGTGATTTAATGTAATATGGATTTTGTGTAATTCAGATGGCTGAAGAGATACTCCGCTGTTTTCCGTCTGTTCCCGCCAACATAATTATGGACACCTCATCACACAACATGGTGCAAGAAAGGGAGAGGCTGGCTCTGCAGATTTTTGCTGACTCGGGTATGACGATGATCTGATAACATATACAGCTGTGTGTCTACCCGCATAAACGACAAACTCGCCATATGCAATCATTTACAATTATACTGTTCTTCAGCATACTTATTGCAAAGTTACAAATAACTTGAAGATCAAGACGCTTTAATGTGGTTTGGGTGTAGGCATTATTGTACTTTTGGGGGTGGGCATACATACATCCAGGGGCCAAAACCAGTTCTCGAACATAAAACCTCAGGGCCCCAAGATATTTTGAGGATTGTAGCTCAAATCAGATAAAGTTCATGTGGTATCAATGTGGACACCATACTGTCAACATCCCAGCAAAACACCTCTAAGTCATTTATGTTGCACAACACTGGCATTTTCACATAGCGTTTGGTTTATAACTGGATATCTTGGTTTATTTAGGGGTGAAGAAAATTGGCCCTCCACTACACAAATGTGCCTTACCCGTGTTGTAGTAGGTAACTTTTCATGACATAGGGTTGGACTCCAACCTATTTGCAGTCGCACTAGTCTGCTCCAAGGGCAACAATGGCTATATACTGTATAGTGGGAGAAAAACTTATGTGAACATTTTGGAATATGTCACATTTCTGCCTAAATTAGTCATTAAATGTGGTCTGATCTTCATCAGAATGAATAAACAGTGTCTGCTTAAACTAATACCACCCAAACATTTATATTTGATCATATAAATGATGTGAGCTATCTGCATGGTTACCAACCTCATGAGATAGTCAGCTCTACAATAGCTGTATTTTAATTACGTTTTAAGCTATTTTTATTGAATATTGTATTATTGGCTATAAGGCACAGCACATTCTACAGAAGGTTACAGAGGGGCTTCATCAACGTCGCTAAATATACGTTGTAACATTAAATTAGCCTTGAAGTGGCTATCACAGGGCTACCACGAGACAACAAGCCCGTCCAAAGAAATGGAAAAACATAAAGAAACAAATAATCTGGTGCAAGAGCTCAGCCGACTCACCTTAGAACTTCGGGAAAGTGATCGAGCATCAATTTCTTTTCTTAGAAGTGAAGTCCTGCGTCTCACTACCCAGCTGAACGAAAAAGAGGCACTTGTTTCCAAACTCCTGGAGGTCGCTGGTGGTCAACACAAACGAATCCTGTCATTAAGTGTAGCATACTCTGACACTCTTGTCTGGGATGGTCCTGCTGGTCCTGGATCCTGTTCAACACCAAAACGCCCGGGTACGGATAATGAGCCCACGGGCTGTGAAGAAGCATCTAGTGCTGTGGTCCAGGTCCTTGGTATTTCAAACCGGTATGCGGCTCTGGCTGCTGACGTCCCGGCACCGCCAGCGGAACCTCCTGGTGCGCAGGTGCCCCGAGAACAAGAGTCCACAGCTGACCCCCAGTCCCCGGGGAATGCAAAGTGCTCGGCGCCCAAGAGTGAACAAGTACTCCCCGTAAAACTTTCACTCGCCGGACAACGTCCACGCGAGAAATCATCCGCCAGAAAGAGGCTCCTAAAGGATGCTGTGCTCAGGCGACACAGTGGTCCAGTTGAGCCCTATCCATGCACCCCACAGTGGCCTGAGAGTGGAGCGCCGAGTCCACGCACTTCAGCCTCTCCTGCTCCTGTCCCCCTGGTCACACAGCAGCCAAATCCCGAAACGTCGCCTCAACCGGGACACTTTTCCCCGTTTGCTCAAAAGCCGTGCACTGGTCCGAGTCATCCTGCCGTCTCCACTTCACGGGGCGCTCACGGAGAGCAGCCCAGAGCAGAGAGCCAACGCGCCCCTTCCTCCCTGCGCGATCAGCTGCGCCGTGGGCCAGGTCCAGTGGATACGCCCTCTCTGCGTCCACTCTTTCCGCAGACAACTCTAATAATTGGAGATTCCATAATAAGGGATGTTCGTTATTTCAATGCAGTAACGCATTGTATCCCGGGTGCCACTGTGCCAGACTTGTTGATACGGCTCCCCTCGCTGCTGAAGTCCATGCCCGACACAATTTCCAGGGTTATCGTGCACGTTGGAATAAACGACGTGAAGATGCAGCATTCTGAAGTGACAAAGAAGCACTTTACGGATCTTTTCCAACTTCTACGCCTATCTGGTCTATCGGTCTTCATCTCTGGTCCAATCCCGACAGTGAACAGGGGCGACTGCTTCTACAGCCGCGTTCTGGCGCTGAACCAATGGCTGCAGTCTGTGTGTAGCTCTTTCGGCGCGGTCTTTGTTGACAATTTTGGCCTTTTTTGGAGACGCCACATTGCTTATCGTCCTGATGGTCTGCACCCAAACAAGTTTGTTGGTGGACTATCTGTGTCACGTGGTACAGTGGACTGTGAGATCATGCGTGTGACTGGCTGCGTCACCGCCTCCACCGCTCCACTGTCAGCACCATGTGAGTACAGCAGCGTGAACACTGGCCCCCATCCCCTGTTTCGTGTTATTCCAGACTCTCCTTTACACTCTTCCACTCTGAACCACCCTCACGTAATCATAAGACCCAAGCAAGATCGCAAAAAAACTCAAAAGTCAGATCAAAGGAACTTGATTCATATTCCCTGTACAAATGTTTCCAGTTCTGCTGAAACCATACTGAATCTTGCTGTTTTTAATGTCAGATCCCTTGGCAACAAATCATTTTTAATTAACGATCTTATCTCCTCTTATAACCTCGATTTTATGTTTTTAACTGAAACATGGCTTGATAAAAACACTGGTAATGCTGTTCTACTAGAAACAGCTCCTCCCACCTACACATTTGAATATGAAGCACGAGAGAATAAAAAAGGTGGAGGCGTGTGTGCTCTATTTAGGGACAGCATGGTTACCCATAGACTGACATTTGGGAACTTTGCCTCCTTTGAATATGTGTCGTTCAAAGTTGAGATGAATAAATCCCCATCCATACTCGTCGTCATTATCTACAAGCCTCCCCAACACGGTCAAAATTTTATTGAGGATTTTACAGAATTTTTATCAGTTGTATGTATTGATTTTGATTCACTGATAATTACTGGTGATTTTAATGTTCATGTGGATATGGCTGAAAACAAGGATACAAAAGAGCTCAGCTCTGTTCTTGAAACCTTTGGTCTGGCCCAGCATGTGCGAGCCCCAACGCACAATAGAGGCCACACACTCGACCTTCTAATAACGAAGGGAGTTAACATCACAAATTTTAAAGTGGTCGATATTGCTTTGTCCGATCATTACTGTGTCTTTTTTAACCTGTCAGTCATTCCTAAACCACCCGCTCAACCTACAGTTCTGAGGCGAAGACACATAGTGGATGGAACAGACGCTCTTTTTATGGAAAGAATCAAGTTCGAAATTGCCCCATGCTCTACTGTAGATGACTTATTAAACACTGTAACTCATGCCATTTCTAATGTAATGAATGCCATCGCCCCCATAAAAACCAAGAAAACTAAAAGTGTACAAAAAGCACCCTGGAGGTATGATGACCTTGTCAGAGAAAAGGAGAGAGACTGCCGCAGGGCAGAGCGGAAATGGCGCAAGTTTAAACTCCATGTCCATTACGAAATGTTTAAATTAAAGCAGCATGAGTACAACAGTATTTTAAGTACTACAAGAGAGCGGTATTTCACCCAGACCATTGAAGACTCTAGAAATAACTCCCATGCCCTTTTTGCAACCGTGAACAGATTAACACACCCCCCATCACAGTTGCCTCTTGAGTTTATTTCCACATTTAAGTGCAATGAGTTTGCTGTATTTTTCAATGAAAAGGTTCAATCCATTAAAAGAGCGATAAATCCCACATCACAAATTTCTATACAAACAACTGCAGTTTCTGAGCTGTCCTTTTTTTCACCTGTCACTGAAAAATTGGTCAAAGAAATTGTTTTAAAATTGAAATCGTGCACTTGCTGCCTTGACGTGTTGCCCACTAGATTTTTAAAACTTGTTCTTAACAGTTTGTTGCCTTCACTCACTGCAATAGTGAACGCATCTCTTCAGGCAGGAACCTTCCCTGGTCCTCTGAAAACTGCAGTGATCAGGCCTCTCTTAAAGAAGAGCAGTCTTGATCCTGCAGTGCTCAGCAATTACAGACCCATTTCAAATTTGCCTTTCTTAGGGAAGGTGTTAGAAAAGGCCGTTAACCTGCAGCTAAACAATTTCCTGCTGCTGAATAATGTAATGTAATGTAACCTTTTATTTTACTAACCATTTATATACCGCCTTTTCACTGCACATCGGAGTCTCAAAGCGGTTTACAATTGTTATTTTTGGGAGTGGGGCCAGTACAGGAGGCACATGCCAGACCTATTGTACCGATTTTTAGTGGTAGGAGAAACCGGAGTACCTGGAGGAAACCTACGCAGACACGGGGAGAACATGCAAACTCCACTCAGAAAGGCCCTGGTCCAACCGGGATTCGAACCCAGGACCTTCTTGCTGAGAGGCGAGAGTGCTATCCACTCAGCCACCGTGTTTTTGACCTGTTTCAATCAGGTTTCAGGCCCCACCACAGCACAGAGACTGCCCTGATAAAAGTTTCCAACGATGTCCGCGTCAACAGTGACTTAGGCAAAGCCACAGTGTTGGTCCTGTTGGATCTCAGTGCAGCCTTTGACACTGTTGATCACGAGATCCGCCTGCAGAGACTTGAGGGATGGGTTGGCATCACTGGCACTGCCTTAAGTTGGTGCAAGTCCTACTTAGAGGACAGACAGTCTTTGTTGAGATTGGGGACTGTGTCTCAGACCAGGTGGCCTTAACAAGTGGAGTGCCCCAAGGTTCAATTTGGGCCCCCTTCTTTTTAATATTTATATGTTGCCACTAGGTCAATTGATTCGAGGCCAAAATGTATCCTATCACAATTATGCAGATGATACGCAGATTTATGTCTCACTGGCTGCGGGTGAACTTGGGCCAATTGAGTCACTCTCTCACGGCATCAAACAGATTGACTCATGGATGCAAAATAACTTTCTTCAGTTAAATTCAAACAAAACTGAAGTTATTGTGTTTGGCCCACAGAAACTCAGAGAAAGTGTGTGCAGCCTTCTCCAATCCTTTTCTCTGTCTCCAAATTACAAAAATCAGGTTAGAAATCTAGGAGTAATCATGGACTCGGACCTCAATTTCAATAGTCACATTAAATCTGTAACTTCAGCGGCTTTCTACCATCTAAAGAACATTGCTAGAATTAGGGGCATAATGTCTAAGGCAGACTTAGAGATTGTCATTCATGCTTTTGTTTCTAGTAGGTTAGGCAACGGCCTTCTCTCTGGTCTGTCCAAAGGAGCTGTAAAGCAGCTACAGTATATTCAAAATGCTGCAGCTCGAGTCCTGACAGGAACCAGGAAGTATGACCACATTAGTCCAGTCCTCAGGTCTCTGCACTGGCTTCCTGTGGCTCAGAGAATAGATTTTAAATCAGCTCTCCTTGTATATAAGTCTCTCCGTGGTCTCGCACCAAAATACATATGCAACATGCTGGTGCCGTACGAGCCCGCTTGAACTCTGAGGAGCGCGGGGACTGGCCTCCTGTTGGTGCCCAGAGTCGGGACTAGACATGGGGAGGCAGCGTTCCAGACCTATGCACCTAGAATCTGGAACAGTCTTCCCGAAGGTGTGAGACAGGCTCCTTCTTTAGCTATGTTCAAGTCCAGGCTGAAAACGGTTCTTTTCAGCCGTGCCTACGACTGATCATCAAGAAATCATATCATATATTTATTTTTGATGTATATATTTATTCATTTTCTTAAACTGTCTTTTGTATTTGTTTTTACAGTCTGTTTTTAATTTGTTTTTAAATTGCTTTTAAATGTTGCCGATGTGAAGCACTTTGGGTTGGTTGCATTCTGTATGAACTGTGCTATAGAAATAAATATTGATTGATTGATATTTTTAATTGACCATAACATGTAAACATTCACAGGAGGGAGGAAGAGTAAGTGAACCCAGAAATCTTCATGCATTTTCGGCAGTTTTGTAAAGAGGAGTGGTCTAAGATTCAGCCTGATCGTTGTGAGCGTCTAATCTGCAACTACAGAAAAGCAGTAATTGCTGCAAAAGAAGGATCAGCCAGCTATTTAATACAAGGGTTCACTTACTTATTCTATGCATGTCTTCCTGCAAAATATTGCGATGATCCTGTGAATTCATTTTTCCATTGATAACATATTGTCCAGGCCATGAGGCAGCAGAGCACCCCTGCACCATGATGCTCCTGCTCCATACCGCACAGTGAGGAGAGGGTTTAGATGTCGGTGCTGTTCCAGTTTCTTCCCCCACACATGACGTTGGTTGTTCCTCTCAAACTGTTCAACTTTGGTTTGCGAAAATGATGATCCACAGCGCTCGTGGTAAAATATTCAGTGGACTGATGAACCCAAAGTTCAGTAGTTTTGGAGGAACACACAACGTCACGTGTGGAGGAAAAATTCAACAGCACATCAACATCAAAACCCTATGCTCATTTTGAAGTATAGAGCAGGAGCATCATGGTGTGAGGCTGTTTTGTTGCCTCAGGGCCTGGACAACTTGCTATCAATAGAATGAATTCACAAGTTTGACTTTTTGTTTTCCTGCAAAATATCAGACATTCACAACATGCATAGAATAAGTGAGTACACCCCTGTATTAAATAGCTGGCTGACCCTTCTTTTCTAGCAGTAACTGCTTTTCTGTAGTTGCAGATTAGACGCTCACAACAATCAGGATGAATCTCAGACCATTCCTCTTTATAAAACTGCCGAAGATTTATGGGTTCACTCACTTATTCCATGCTCTCCTGTGAATGTTTACATTTTACGGCCAATACAAATATGAGAAAATGGAATTGTTTGGTTGTTATTCGTTTAATCAGACACTGTTGAATCATTCTCATGATTATGATGAAGATGCGACCACATTTTATGACCAATTTAGGCAGAAATGTGAGAAATTCCAAAGTGTTAAATACTTTTTCCTAACCCACACCCACTATGACCTATACTATGGAGTCTCTCTACACCAAGTGTAATTTGGAGTATAGGCGAGTATGTTGTGGTGACTAGCTAATACAGAGATGGGCACTAACATATCGTAGGCTACATTATGAGTAGGTTATTTGATATGTGAAGAATGAGAGTGATATATTATGTACGGTTTCCTCTTTTAGTATTTGATGTGAATGAACACTGCGCAATGTGCAGCACACACAAGCCTGCAGCAAACTGGGTATGTATTAACAGCAACCCAAGTAGCACAGCTACAACTTATTACATGTATACTCAGTAAAGCTGCTAAATGAATGAGTGTAAGAGTAAGGACACCATAGACCAACTGCATATGGAATGTAACTCAAAGTATGGTACCGTGTGTGTTGTTTTAGATCGGCAGTGACAGATGTGCAAGGTGGTATCATGAAATGTGCCTTGCCTTACCAGATGAGGAGGCTGCAAATGGGAGTGTAATTTTTGTTTGTTAGTTTAATGTTATTCCCACAAAAAAGTTTGTGAAACTTTTAATTTATTTTTATTGTATTTGACCTTTATTTAACCAGGAAAGTCCCACTGAGATTAAGGCTATATCCACACGAAGACAAAACGCTTATAATTTCAGAAACTTTTTCTGTAAACACGGAGTTAGCTCAGTAAATGTGTGCGTCCATATGAATGTAGTCAATACGCCTGAAAACGCTGTGAAACTATGCCAGACCTGTTGGTGGCGCTGTGACGCAATGACGGGATCAAGCCCAAACTTCCGTGGGCATGCGCGGAATTTTGTAAACAGACAACATGGCGAGTGGGCGAGCTGGTACTACATTAGTATGGACGGACGATGAGGTTGAACTGTTGCTTCGGGTCACACTGGATTACAAAACCAACAAGCTACATTGTTGTTGTCATTATTTTCTGAGTGCGGCGCATGCGTGCTTTAACAAGAGGCGGGGCGATGACGCAAGCGTCTCAGATACATTGCGGAGAGGCAGTAACCACGGAGCGGCATATACGAAGTTTTGAAATCTTTCCACTCTGGGACCTAGTTTCAAAAATGTTCGTTTACACCCCCCCAAAACGCCGGCCTCGTATGGACGATACACTGGATTGATAAAGTATTTTTGCGTTTAGGCCTGAGCTTGACTTCGTGTGGACAGGGCCTAAGAATATTTTTCAGGGGAGTCCTGGTCCCAGAGGGGAACCTGGAGGAACATAACAATTATAACAGCTAATTGCAGTAAATACAGAAGGTTTCTGAGAACCATTCCAGTGTGGACCAGGTGTCCAGGACCTGTACATGTGATCCACATTAGTTTTAACCCCAAGTGATTAAGCATTTCACAATAAAGGCCTTGTTACACAGGGATTTCCATTATAACAGCTAATTGCCATAAATACAGAAGGTTTCTGAGAACTATTCCACTGTGGACCAGTTTTTCTTAATTCTATGGGAACCATTTTGGTCCCCGAGGGTGACAACTGTTTCTTTTTATTCTTTTTTTTGTTTTTTTTACCTTTTGAACTGAGCATGTCAGATCTACATTGACATGGGTATTGAAATGTGACTTGCTCCATGATGCTTTGCCAATTTAAAGTTAATGTTCAAAACACAGGTAGACATTTATATTCGAAAGTGATAAAGAATGACAAATTAAGCACCTTAAAATACGTTGCTCAAAATCAGTGCCTCACATTGTTATTATTATTGTTTTTGTTGTTGGTAATAATAATAATAATAATCATAATAATATTATTATTATTTATTTTATGTATAATTCTTATATTGGTAGTTTAAGTCACCGTACTTGGCAGCTGGCTTTGGTGAAAGGGGTGAATTTGCGCCATCTGCTGGACCGAATTTTAACTGGCAGCTGGCTTTGGTGAAAGGGGTGAATTTGCGCCATCTGCTGGACCGAATTTTAACTGACATTTCTGACGACATGACAAAAGTTGTACATTAGATGTTCTACCACAAAGTATATCAAGGCTGGGGGTTATTGGGTGCTTTTAAAAGGCTGAATGACGCTATATGACTTCATATGACTGACTAGACACCCGAGGTGGATTAAGTCGAGGCTGGCTTGACGGCGTCATATTTGTATCATGTGGCTCTTTGCTGTACACAGTAAAAACATTGGCTCTTAGTCTGTGACTGGTTGGCCACCCCTGGTCTAGCCACTTCCTCATCCTCTACCAGAACTGTACATTCCCTGTTGGTCTGGCTTTCCTTTGCGTTATTTATACAAACACACATTCTACATTGAATAAAATGAAACCTAGGCATTGTACACCAGTCGCTAAACATCTCATGAAACTAGAATTGGTTGATGGGTCTAAGATTTTAACTGCTTAATTCTGCAGATACTTATCTCTCCCAAAACAGCCCCGTGGAAATAGCTAGCAGTGCTTCCGGCCAATGCTATGTCAACAAACCATGGGCAACAAACACACGTCCGAGGGTAAGGTTTATTTAAATGCCCTTGACATAAGGACATAAAACAGTCACACATAAGTTTTATTCAAGACCTTACTTATGAAGATATTTGAAGACGATTTTGATGAATGCTTCGCTGCCTTATTTTCCCCGAGCCGTGGCTGTGAATGCACGGAACACATGTTAATTTGTAAACAACCGTCTTGGACCCGAAGTGAACACGTAGCTAACATGTGTCTTGGCCTATTATATCATTTGATATAGGTCTAATATACACAGTAAATGTAAATAAATATACATTACTCCCAGTCTTATGTATTTGATTAAAACATATAAATACATATCTATCTTATATCATTACATAAAACAGGTGTTAGCACTATGGTTAGCATACTATAGCTGCTGTCTACATGAAAACGTGTGTTTCCTCTGTGTAGCTTTAATATTATATTGTGGGGATGTTTCTCCCTAAAGAGAAAAATAATGATTTTTCTCGATCAAACACAATCTCACTGGACTGAAATAGCCTCTTAGCTTAGCTTTTGAACAAACTTGAGGCCTCAAAGCACCAGTCCCTCGCTGATCCTCTGCAGGGGGTGAGTCCACAGGAAGTTGGCTGCTCTGTCGGTGGTGAAACAGCCGTTAAGTGTCTTGCCCAAGGACACAACAACAGTAGACATCAGTGGGAGCAGTTGGAGTAGGTCCCATGATGGAACTCACGACCTCCAGGATGTCGCCCCTCATAAATAAGGTCTTGAAAAAAACTTATGTGTGGCTGTTTTTATATCCCATTAAAAAAAAAAACCTTCCCTACGGACGCGTGTTGTTGCCCATAGTTTGTTGACGTAGCATTAGCCGGAAGCACTGTTAGCTATTTCCACGGGGCTGTTTCAGGGAGAGGTTTCTCAAGATACCTCTTTTTTTCTCTCTACTGTGCCCCTTCAGGGGCTCTGTAGGCAATAAAGTGGCACTAACTGTGTGGATTTGTTTTTTATTTTCTTATTCCACTCTCAGCCTAAAAAGTCAAGTAATGACTCACAGGGCTCTCAATTATGTAAAATAAAAAACTAAAATGGCCTGTTGTGGTGTGTTTTGCGATCATGCATTGTTAACGCAATGGAAACTTTAGGTATCTGAGCTTTAACTTCAAGAGTAAACTCCCTCCTCACGCCGGAGTTTGCAAACTACATTTTGCGTGTGATTCCTCCACCAACTTAAAGAAGCTATACCCTCTTTTTTCTGAGTAGTTCAAAAAAATGCTTTTTACTACATACAAGTTGTATCATAATACATAATTTAATTGAAAACTTGAGGTCATTGATTCAACTGTGTATGAATTACAGGCCGTGAAAAGTGCTGAGTAGAGTCTGAGCTGGACGCTCGTTCTCCTCCACTCACAGAACGAGCGGCGAACAGCCTGCGTCCTCTAGCCTCTACAGCGCTGCAGAAACCCAAAGGTTTCACCGGGACGTGCTAGGCAGGTAACAGCTAAGCTAGCTAGCTGTTCCATAGCAACTTCCGGGTTTTTCGCGATCACTTTTTGTCACATTAAAACAATATTTTTGTCGTGAAAACTTTACCAGCAAATTCTGACATCGTCCGTGCATGTGTGTTAAGGATTTATATGTATACTGTATTGTTCGATTAACGTTTAATGGTGTTGATTGATTGATATGTATTTGTTTATTGAGCGTGGCTAGCTGCGCTAGCTCCGCTAGCTTCTCTACACAGACAAGTGTGCAGAGAAACTGCACAGTGTAGTGACAGGCGCTAATAGCTTGTCGTACTTGCGGTCATTATTGGTTTGAAAGTTTTGTTATCAAGAAAAAATGATCGAAAGAATTGCATTCAAGTCAATGGAGTGCTGCTGCTGTGAGGAGCTGTATAATAAATTATAATTAAATATTAGAATATATTGTAATGTTTAAATTAATACATTCGGATGCGAAACTAGCGGTATTCTTTTACTTATATATTGTGTTAGCAGTGCGTTGCTTTAGTGCCATTTCATCAGTGATTGTTGTACAGCTAACAAGAATTTGCGCTAATGCTAATGTTAGCATACGTATCAGATCGCAAATAAAACTAGGTGGCTCCGTGGGATGAGAGCGTAGGGGAAATGAGAAGCCTGTGAGCATTCAAACATTGCAGAAACGGGTATAGCGCCTTTAATGGAGGTTGAAATGGGCTGTGCCAGTTTGCTCCGTTTGAAGAGCGAGTCCGTCCCCACCCTTGCTCTTCCACGAATGAGCCTTAGCCCACTGACACTGGTGCCCCGCCAACAGTACAATTTTGGGCGCCAATCTGAGGTGAGTGAGAAAAATAATTATTTACCCATATTGGATTTGAACGTATGCTCAAATATAGCAGATCACTTATGAGAAAGCTCTCTACACGGCTGCTCCACATTCTCAACACGCAGGGCCCGCATCAGTTCTGCGATTACACGCATTTACTCTTCACTTCACGCATCCATCACGCACGCATGACCAAACAGCCGCTCATTCAGTGAGTCGCTGTTCCCGCAGATCCCCTGCGGCCTCCGTATCTACACGCACCTCACGAAGCAGCCTGTGTGCGAGAAACCCTCCGCACGCCCCAAGGGCCGCGCTACATACATGCATAATCAGTACAGAGCGTGTGGACTTGTCACCCCCGCATATTCTCTGTATCCTGCTCCATGCAAATTCTGCTCCATGCTATGATATGATCCCTCTATCCGCAGCTAAGCGTTCCTGCGCATCACGCTAGGCAGCCTCCCACGCCTGAGAATTCCCCGGCACACACAGCTCTAGTTTCCTCTTTTGGGGGATCTGAGATCATCTTCAGCTGCAATCAGTCTCATCGCTGCAAGTGTCACTGCCGGGGTCAATGCGCCAAACAAATAAATCATTTTATTGTATTAATTGTGTCTTTGGTCTCTTCAGATTGAAATGCAAACAGGTCTCAGGCTACAACCTTAGAGGGTGTGCTTAGGTATGCAATTTTATACCCAAAGTCCAAAAAAGGAGACTACACTGTGAGAGCCTTGAAGACCAAA